GTATGTTTCAGTGAAAGTGTGTGTTGGTTAACCAGTGTGTGTGACAATGACTGTGTATCTGTGAGTGTATGTCAGTGCATGCATCAGTGAGGGCATGTGTCTGTTAGGAAGAGAAATTTGGAAAAGGGGGGTGTCTGAGTTTTGTCATGCCTAGGGCAACATAAAATCAGAATACACCACAGGACAGGGGAGTACCTATATGTCCCAGTGCTGCTTTAAGATTGATGGAACTAAACCATAACCCTATTTTTTTACATAAATACATAAAATAAATTAAAGCGTGATGCTGGAGTATGCATTTAGTCAAAATATTGCCTTCTGTAATTTGACTTATGATTTCTCCAGATTCCATTGATTGCATAATTTTCACATATATTTACACTTCATTTATTTCCATTAATAGAGGAAGAGAGTGAGTGTTCTCCAAGTTTCCAAGATGGCACTATTTCCCTAACACCATTATCTATTTTTATATAATGTGATTTTATTCTTTCAAAATATATATATAAATTTTATTTTTTATTTTTTTTATGGTGGTTTTGTTCCACAACATATGGAGTGTGAAAAATAAACTATTCCCTGCTAATCGTGCTGCTATGAATGCAACTCCCCCCATGTTCAGTCAAATGCTGACACACAGACTGGCTCTCTTTTACTCTTTCCCCCTGTCTATCATGAGACAATGGATCAGCATTGTTTGTTACAGCTGCTGGTCCAACTGCCATCAGTGATGTTGTCGATGTAGGGCACATTGGCCAGAGGCAGCACAGGTTGTAGGCAGGGTAGCTGCTGGGGCTACAGGGCACTCACAGTCTGCAGTTTTCGAGCCAGTCCTTAGCAGTTGCCACACGCTAACTCCTCATGAACAGTCACTCCCCTTACTTACCCCTTACACCCAGTCACATTGCCAAATTCACCCTGCCACACTCACTCTGTCATGACCACCTTGCACAGTCATCCTCGTAAAAACACAGGCACCCCTAGGAACAGGCAGCACCCCACAGACAGTAATCCTCATACTGGCACAATCACCCCTCATACACAACACGGCCCCACTGAAACACAATGCACACAGCAAGACTATAAGCCACCTCCTCTATACACACAACACACTGCAAGCAACTTCCTCCACACATACGCTCCTAGACACAGAGATAGGTGTGTTCACAGACACAGGGATACACAACAGATATGCATTCTAGGCACAGTCATGACTACACATACACACAGATACACACTCACAGATACACAAGGATACTCACTGCCAGACACAGACTCTCAGGCACATACATACTTCTACACAATGTCAGACATGCACACACAGATACCAATACACACTGTCAGACACACACTGTGAAATGTGTGACTGTATATGTCAATTTATGTGTGTGTGTGTGTGTGTGTGTGCCACCACTACTACCCACAGTCAACATTGCTCTAAAAACAATGTCTTTTTTGTTGTGCTTATAATAGGAAAGTGGTCTTGCCATTTCCACCATTGTTGACTGTGGGTAGTAGTGGTGGCACTAACACACACACACACACACACATACATTGACAGATACAGTCACACATTCACAGTGTGTGTCTGGCAGAGTGTATTGGTATATGTATGTGCATGTCTGACATTGTATAGAAGTATGTATGTGCCTGAGAGTCTGTGTCTGGCAGTGAGTATCCTTGTTCATCTGTGAGTGTATATCTGTGTGTATGTGTAGTCATGACTGTGCCTACAATGCATATCTGTGTCTGTGTATCTCTGTGTCTGGGAACACACCTATCTCTGTGTCTAGGAGCGTATGTGTGGAGGGAGTTGCTTGCAGTGTGTTGTGTGTATGGAGGAGGCTGCTTGTAGTCTTGCTGTGTGCATTGTGTTTCCGTGGGGCTGTGTTGTGTATGAGGGGTGATTGTGTCAGTATGAGGGTTACTGTCTGTGTGGAGCTCTCTGTGCCTAAGGGTGCCTGTGTTTTTATGAGGATGACTGTGCAAGGTGGTCGTGACAGAGTGAGCATGTCAGGGTGAATTTTGCAATGTTACTGGGTGTAAGGAGTAAGTGAGGGGAGTGACTGTTCATGACACACACAGATACCAATACACACTGCCAGACACACACTGTGAATGTGTGACTGTATCTGTCAATGAATGTATATGTGTCTCTCTATATCAGTGTTTGTGTGTGTATATGTGTGTGTATCAGTGTGTGTATGTGTGCATGTGTATTTGTGTTTGTGTCCAAAGTGGCAACAAGGCTGCAATGTGAGGCTGATATGGTATGAGTAATGTCATGGTAATGTGACAAAATATTTGCTTTTGCTTCCATTAATTAATGTGCTATCTAGGCATATCAAAACCAAAAATACATTTAAACACTACTTTCCACCCAAAAACATTATTTTCCAGGACGCACAAAAACATAACTTTCAGGTTTCTGCAAACTGCTTGGTAGTGAAGGTGTTAAGCAGTGAGACTGCAGGGGCATGATCGATACACAAAATCTGTTTCATCAATCTAAAGTTGTTTAGGTAATGAGAGTATTCGTTTAAATATAACCCTATATGATTCTATAATGCTATACCTAGTCCCAGCCTATCACTGCCCTTCTGTTTGGATAGAATTGGATTTGACAAGTGTGTTTTGAACATTCTGTGTTTGGCTAAACATGAGGGGCCATGGGTGCTGGAGAAAACCCAGAACAGTTTGACAAAGAAACCTGGGGTTTGCACCCATAAACTCACAATCCTGCTTACAGCTAGGGATGTATCTTCTGTGAGGCAAACAAGGCATCTGCCTTGGGCGGCACTTTGCAGGGGGCGGCAAAAAAAGCCACCCTCACACGCCCAGGCAGATCCCTTGTTTGCCTCGTGTCCTGGAGGGCTAAAGAGGTGGCCGGCTGGCCACTTTTGAGCACCCCCGAGGCGGGTGACAGGCAGCAAGGGAGCATACTCACCTGAGCTCTGCCTGCTCAGCTCCCTCCTCGCCGCTTAATGAAGCGTGGAGCCGGAATATGACGTCAGACCGGATCACTAAGCGGCGCGCAAGGGAGCTGAGCAGAAAAATCAGAACTCCCTCGCCACCTACTCTGCTTGTCCCCCTGCCTGTCCATCAGCCACAAGTAAGCAATCCACTCCAGCTCTCCCAGGGAGGATGGGTGGATTTAAAATAAACATAAATAATACAAATAATAATTAAAATAATAATTTGTGAGTGTTGGGGGAAATGTGTGTCTGTGAGTGAATGTGTGTGTGTGTGTGACTGTGAGTGAATGTGTGTGTGACTAAGTGAATGTGTGGCTGTAAGTGTATTTGTCTAAGTGAGTTTGTGTCTCTTAGTGTATGTGTGTGTGTGTCTATGTGAGCGTGTCTGTGTGTGAATATATGTGTGTGTGTCGGTCTGTCAGTGCATGCGTCTGTCAGAGCTTGCGTCTGTCAGTGAGAGTGTGAGTCTGTTAGTGTGTGTCCGAGTAATAGTGTGTGTCTGTCTATCAGTGTGTCAAATCAGTGAGTGTGTGTGTATGTCATTGTTTGTCAGTGTATATGAGAGTGTGTCTGTCAATGAGTGTATGCGTCTGTCAATGAGTGTGCGTCTATCAGTCAAAGTGCGGCCTTGACAGGAATGGGTGAGAAAAATGTAAATTAGGGGTGGGAGGGTGCCTGCCTAGGGCAGCACAAATCCTAAATACACCACTGCTTACAGCCCCATAACCACTGCAACGTCCCTCTAAGGTGTACAGATTTGTATAATGAGTTGTTGATGTGTAGCTCTACCAGTCAGTGAAAGATGCCAATGACTCTCATTAGTTCAGGTACATCAGCTGATCCCTCTATGTTTATTTAATGAAGTCTCTGACTTTTCATTATTTTATCAGTAGTTCCAAGTGCACATTGTTGTGTACTTTTCACCTTGTGTGCCATTAGCATGTTGACATTAGAATTTTAACTTAAAATAAAGCTGACACCTGATGTTAATGTCATTCTTGTAGTGTAATTAAAAAATGTAATATTTTTTTTTTACCTCATTGTGTTAAGCCAGTAAAAAATTTTTTTCGAAAAACGGGAAAAAAAATTCTGTTCTACATCTGTTCTATCTGTTGCTACTTTGTATTGTAATACTGTAACCTCAATAAACATTTTAATTACAAAAAACATTTTTTTTTTTTAATCTGGTGAACTCTAATGTCTGGAATGTCCTCCAATATATATTAGATACAAGTCATCAATTATCCTAACATATACATTGAAATAAAACCAAAAGCTGTGCTGTTCGTCAAAATAACCCTTATACTTAAATGTTCTTTACATAATTCAAAACAAAATATCTTACAGATTGATACTGTTTACATCTAACCAAACTATAGCAGGTTTAGTTGTAACTATATCCACTTGGATAGTTGACAATTTCTCCGTGTGCAGATGGCCATCTTGGAATTGGATCATAAATTTAAAATTGTTATTATAAAAGAAGGCTGCAGGGACCATGTGATGTCACCATCCTGTGATTTAATCCCAGTTTTAAACTACAAAAGGAAGGGGATACAGTCGATAGAAGAGTCATTACATTTTTAATTGGCTTTAAATACAGCAGAGGTACATGCAAATTATTATTTTTATAGTCTTATAATATATGCATTGTGATATATGTCTCCCTAAACTTTTTTTGGCTGTTCATTTGAAACTAAGAAATATGAGCTAGGAAAAACATTTAAGCGAAATGCACTTCACCTTCCCAGACTAGCGCACTGTAGTGGTTATGGTGCTTAGTAAATGCTGCTTAGTGAATAAACTGCATAATATTTTCCAAGGCACTTTATATTGAGAGCCTATAGCGTAAGAGCGATATAAATGTTATAAGGAATTAGCCAACTAATAACAGCAAGACTTTCAGCATTCTATGATAATAAGATAAAAACTCACTTTTTGAAACAGATTAAAGCAGATCTGTCAAATTCAGAGGTCTTTGCATATATTGCAAAGACCCTCAAAATGGGAAGTTCCAATGTGGGTCCGGTGAACACAGGTTTCAGGGAAGTGAGTTTTTCTTACCTCCGGCTGCCCATCGTGGCCACTGCCATCTTCACGATGCAGGTCCTCCTCTGTTCCTGGAGCTTCAGTTTCCAGGAGACGCGTCAGTCCTGTACTCTGGCACATATGCAAGAGTGCAACACTAAAGTCTATTTAGGATACTGCGAGAGCACATGTTGCTCCTTAGACAAAGCCTGACATCGGCACTCTGCCTTTTGTCAACCTCAGGCTCTACCATAAAACAAAGTAGTCTTTAATTTGTCTTATGGTATCTCTGGATTGCATTGGAATTTCAATGGAATTCCAGCAGTCTTAATCAGTATTTCATAAAGATTATACCTTTAGAAAATACTGATGGTCACATATCCACTTTAAATATATATACCGTATATATATATATATGTATGTCACCGAAACAGCAATGTTGTTTCTATAGCTAGTCTGATATAAATAATGAGTCACCCCCGGTTTCTAAGTTCACCATTATTGTGTCTAAAAATAATTCAAGAATAAGTTCATTTTTATATATATTTCACTCTTCACAAATAACCTTTAGATGGTTTATTTTGTAAATGGCAAGACCACCTTCCTACTATGTTCTTATAAGCAAAGAAAACCTTTTGTTTTAGGGCATTGTTGACTGTGGGTAGTAGTGGTGGCAGTTCCGATACACCTTAAAGGCTTTACGATTGTCATAGTTGTCTGCACCTCTCATGCAAATGGGTTTGTAAAATTGGTGCAATCTCTTCCTGCAGCCAAAGAGTTAAGATAAGGGAAGACAAAGAAAAAGCCTTTTTTTGACAGTCAGAAAGTACTCCTCTTGTCATGAGAACCTCATTATACAAAATATCTCCTGGAATTTCTAGTTGCCATAGAGATCCGAGGGCGCATGTTTATTAGACTTTTTTATGTTGCTTCTTTAATCCTTTTTATTTATTTATTTGAGGACTCAAAAAGAAACTGCAAAAGCAATTGTGCGTTATACACAGAAGGAGATAAAAAGAAACAGTCTGCTACAAAAGACTCATCCCGCCTGTTACCTCAATGCCTAATCTGGGATGCTCAAACCACTTTGGTCCACGTGATGCAGTATATCGAAGAGCAATATGTGATTTTTGGTTTAAAAGAAGCCTATTTTTTCATGTCTTCGTTAATGTGCATGTTTGAAGAATCCAATGATGAAATACTATTCAAACCTTTGTAGATACTTAAAAAGACCAAAATATGAGGCATGCCAGTAAACAGTAATTATCAATATACCAGACACTTAAGTCTTCACTAACAATCACAGGTTTACAGGCATATGCACTGCTCTGGATGTGGACTCTACGGAGCTATTTAATAATTTGTGATGAGTACACAACTTGCTTGAAAATTTTAATAAAATAAAGAAAAATAAAGGAAAAATCTCATGTAAATTGATTTAACTTGTTTCCCCTAATTTTGCAAGTCTGTTGTCAGCGTACCACAATGTACTGTTTTGTGAACAAATCACTATTTTATTAAAAACCTTATAAAAAAAAATATTTAGAAAAGTGAATTATGTTGAATCAATTAAACAGTGAAAACTTGCGTGAAGTCAGACGTATTGTGTTTACTGAGAGACCCATGTCAGGTCAGCTTAAAACACCCATTGCGTTCGTGTATGGTGACTTGTGGGTTTGTTCAAACAGGTTCGATATTTAAAGCAAATATGTGGTTTCTATTATATCAGCATGTTAGTTTCCAAGCAAGCAAGAAAAAAGGCTTTGACTGTGAGTGTGCGTGTGTGCAGAGCCGATTTGTGCATCTGGACAAAATTATATAAACTGAAAAAAAAAAAAAATACCCACAGCCACAAATCAACACCAGACAGACTTAAAACCTGGAAGGATATCAAGACTTTGGAGTGGGTGTATATGGAACAAATACAAGGGTGGACAACCTTGGCTGTCGATGGACTACAATTTCCCGAATTATGTGTCAAGCAGAGAATTCTGGGAAATACAAACTAACAACAGCTGTAAGACAAACACTCAACACTTCTTGTATAGAAGTTGACAGACACATTTATGCTGATTGTGTCATCACTTTGAACCGCTTGCTGCAGGGTCGGTCTAGCCCGTCATAAATAAAGCTTAATATTTTTGAAATAATATTAAGAAATGCATGATGTTAAAACTTTACTGATAGGATAAGTAGTCTAAAGGTTTTTATAGTGAATAATAACCATATATAAATTCATTTAGCATGCGCACAAATTTATTCATACAGGGCTAATAACTAAAGTGACAATTCAAAGTGAATATCAAAATCAAGGTCAAAATAATTGAATTGACAAAAGTCAGCTATGCTTTCAATTTAGTTCCTCAGTTTTTTTACATCACTTTGAATTCACACTTTTGTAAATAACCCTGGTATAGCTTGAATTGTCAGGAATGCAAAATTATTTTAAAAATGTTTAGGTCAAAATATCCTAGTTGGAGAAAATTATATTGTAAGTTAGCTATGTCCTCAGTTTGGTTTATACTAGCCTAAAATTTGAAATATGACTCCAATCGGAATTCTCAACAATTCAGACCTTCAGTGAATAATCCTGCAAATGGATTATCTTCATTTCACATTGTAATAGAACCATAACCATGTTGTAACTCTAGGGTAGACACAATTATTGCACCTCGATAGAATGTTCTGTCGCAGTATAGCAGACGTGTGTGGCTGAAATTTATATATGAGAGTGTGGGTTCCTAGGTACACTCAAATACAGGGCCAATTTTTTCTCTGTATCCCTTGCCTAACTATCTACAAATGTACAAAGAGGGACACTTTAAAGGGACACTATAGTCACACAGACCACTTCAGCTCAATGAAGTGGTCTCGGTGCCAGGTCCCTCGAGTTTTAACCCTTCAGAGAAACTGCTATGTTTACATTAGGGGTTAAGCCAACCTCTAGTGGCTGTCTTCCAGACAGCCGCTAGAGGCGCATCTGCGATGCTGGATGCGAATTTCACATCCATTGTGCAGAGTGTCCATAGGAAAGCATTGATAAATGCTTTCCTATGGACTGTTTGAATGCACGCTCGACACTTGCATTCCGCTCCACTAGGGAGCTGACGTCGGCGGGGGAGGAGAGGTCACCAGCGCCGAGGGAGCCCGGCGCTGGAATAAGGTAAGCTGCTGAAGGGGTACCCTGAGGGTGGGGACACTCACAGGGAACCATATTGTCATGAAAACCGCTTTGTTTTCCTGACACAATAGTGAGCCTTTAATTTATGAGTGGGGGTGTCGCCAGGGCCGCAGATGTTTTTAGAAATTTGCAGTTACATACTAATAACAATTTATGAAACTAAAATAAAATTTAGAACAAGAATACGCTGTATTGTATTTACACAGACGATTGCTAAACACATTTATTGTAGTTTAAAGACACGTTACTGTGTGTGTTGCTGTGGAGCTCTGTGCTCTGTTATACACTCAGACATATGAACAATATGGAGCTTCCAGAAAAGAGGGACTGTAGGATAGAAAAGATGTGTTCCCACAATAGGGACTGTCCCTCCTAAATGTGGGCACTTGGAAGGTATGCCTTGTTTAGGTGGGCTCTGTGGGAACATTTGTGTGAGTTTGGATTAGTTTAGCATGTTTTTGAAGAAAACCTCTGTATAAACGTTATCACTAATGACAAAAAATATTAAATTTTGCACCTCTTTTGTTACATTTTAAATCGAGTTGAAATGGTAATTTTCTCTGGGTGCACAACCTAATGCAATGTACTATGCATGCTTATAATTGTACCTTTGGAAAAATAGGGCTGATGGGAGTAGACATTTTGCTTTTCCAGCAGACAACCACCGACAAAGCTTTAGTAACACAATGTTTAGTGATTTAAGAGGTTGGGTTATGGATGCATACCTCTGCAAGCTATGTGTGCACATTAATAGCTAAAGAAGAGGTTAAATATTCTTAAAACCAATACGTATTCTGGTCACATGGCTCTCACAATCAACATGTCATTCTTAAATTATTTAAGCAGACAGAGAAAGCTTCTATCGCCTCCACAGCTTTGGGAAATTGCAAACAATTCACAAAGTATTTCTGTGATTATACTTAAATAGAAGATATTGCTTCATGGAGTCACATAAGGAAACTGTAAAACCATTCGATCACAAATAACAGATAATATTTTCTGTATATTTCCTTCAACATTGTAAGATAAAATATATAGGTGAAATGGAAAATATATATTTTTTATAAATAATTTAGTAACTCACATGTAGTCATTGCCCTGCGGATTATATTTATTTATTTTGAATTACGTAAATTAGTCGTATACATAATAAAATGCTATTAACTAAGAATTAAGAATGGTCATACAAATATAAAATTTAATGGCAGGCGTTATGCTATTCGCCCCATAAACCATGGAATTTCATTTTTTTTAGGTCCCACAAATGTCACAAGGTTTATTTAAACATTCACGTTTATATGTCAGCCTCGATTTTACCAAATAAGTGTCTGCAGAATAAAAAGCCTCGCTCTTATGATATGTCGAGGTCCATCTTTAGTCTTCTGGTTATCTAATAATCTGCGCTAACAATGTAAAATAATAATGTATTATAATGTAATACTGATTACTGCCAATACTGATTATTCACTGGCCATGCCCCTCCTCCCCCCAACCTACCACACACACACACACGTCAAAGGAATTTGCTCACATTGTACATGGCTGAATGTTGATTGTCCTCGTAAATATATATATATTGCATTGTCACCAATAAGTAAAATCTAACTGACCAAGAGTAGAGGGATGTTTTTATGACGTTCTAGACATTTATTTCATATATACATTGCTACTAGTCGATTATAATATATGTATTTTTGTTTTCAGATTTGTTTATCAACATTATATGTGTGTGTACTCTTACTAACAAACAATGAGTGCTCAATTATAGGTAGAGTTAAAAATTTATCTCAATGAGAATTGAGAATCTGAACTGAATTCTGCTTTTTTTGGTAAATTCTAAAGTCAAAACAAAGTACTCGAAAACTACAAAGTATTGTTTGAAAAAAAGACCACATCACTTTTTAAAGAGATTTTATAGGATGTGTATTTTGAATATTTTTCATTTACTTAAAAGTAGCACTCTAAGAACTATTAACACTATGATACAGTAAAGTTGTTAAGGTGCAAAGAGTCTATGGATACCATGCCACGGTTTCTGTCAAACCACTGGAGGAGTTTGGAAAAAAAGCAGGGCTCTCCAGGTACTAACAGTTCCCTCACCTCCCCTGACCCCCTTCTGTCACCTGGGCAATATG